GGGGTTAAAGGCAACACCAGCTCTAGGGCATAAAAACTGAACTTGGTAGCAAATTGTAGCATTAGCATTTAGAATTTCGATTGCAACGAAAGCTTTCTAACCGGGATTCGTCATACCTTGTAAGCCGTGTTATTGAACTGAAGGGTTGTCATGTCATTGGATGGGTGACAGTCGAGGCAAGCTAGTAAGCTCGGTGATATTTATATATAGAGAGTGATGTAATAGCCTATATATATATTAAGTTGGTTGGTGAAAGTGGCAACATCTAGATTCTTTATCTATGACCATGGAAAAACTCTGCAAGATTGTCTTTGAAGAGTAGAAGATTGACGGCACTTGGCATATTGAAACCCAGGCTAGAGATGGACTTATTTTTCTTAGATTTTTGTGACTAATTATGTAGATTATAATTAGAGAGAGATCAAGACTAGAACAGTATCATGGGAAAGTGCTACTTCATCAACACTGAGTGGTTGTCCAACCCTAAGTATTCGAAATGATTAGTGGAATATCCAAATGATAAATGCAAGTTTAGATGTAAGTTTTGTTCCCAAGTGTATGTCATCGGTCATTCAGGTGGTACCTCAAAAACACATGAAAGCCCAAACGAGCCAGTGAGGTGCCAAATCTATTCTCAGGTTTACCTAGAACAGAACAAGTGTTGTGAGCGATACTGAAAGGAGCACCAACAGTAATTTATTATAGTAATCAACTAGAGCAGTTGTTGACACGAGTTTTCTCATTCATGAGATGTTTTCAGACTCTAAAATAGCTGAGTTTTCAGTGTAGTCGCACAAAACTTGGCTACCTTGGAACATTTGGGATCGGAGCGATGATCAAGTCCGCTATCCGAAGATGTGAACAGAATAGCCCCCTTCTACTTGATTCTCTTTGACGAGAGCTGTAACACTGACAATGGCAAGAAACAACTTGACCTATAGTGGTAGGATTTTTTTCGGTGTGGTAGGATTTTTAGGAGGAAGATTTCCCCGGTCACTCTGTAATGTGTAGCTGTAGTATCCTTCTTTGGAATTTTTTCTATGAATTATTACTGGATATAACCTGTTATTCATTTTTTCTGTTGTTGAAATTTTAGAGAATATTTATCTTTTATTTTTCAGTTTACAATTTGATCCAGCGCCGAGGAGAGGTGAGCCGCACGTCACAAGACGAACACCGGACTATTTCCTTTAAGCGTATCTGTGTCAGTAAGGATGGAGCATTGTCTTTTGAATGTCTTGAAGATTGCTTTTTACTTGGCTTTGGTCACGTAAGGCACAGAAGTTCTATGACATTTTGCATCACAACTTCATCCAAATAAAACAAAAATTATTTGCTTCTGTGTGAGATAATTCAGTGGACATGAGGCTTGACTTGCCTGGATTTATTATGTTATTTATATATATATATTTTATGATATTTTTTTTAATTTGTGGGGACTTGATACAAGAAACAACCACACTGTCAATAGTGAAATTTGTTGTTGTTGACTGCGAGCAAATTGTGACCATCATGTAATATTTATGTCTTATTACTGGCACATTACTATTGATAGTTTACATGTATTAAGCATTTTGATTACACAAGACAGTTTCATACCATTTCAGCAACGTATGTAAGTTGTTGTTATGTATGCTAGTCTTATAAAGAACATCATGGAATATTATTTTCTATTGATAAGGATGGTGACTTGAACCCCTGGTATTTGTTCACATTTGCCTGAACAGCATGTGTTGTCAAAGTACCTAAAAGTTACCTTTTTTTTTTTTAGTTTTTTTTTTTATGCCAATTGTTCTTTTGTCCCAAAAGGAGAATTAGCATCACTCAGCACTACAAATGTCTTCTTAGTATTGATATGGGGAAAGGGGAGTTTTAAAAAACCCAGTGTGAACTCTGGTGCATATCTGTCCTCCGGAGACCCCCCCAGTGTGGTGACAACAGTGGCTTTCAAATTTTGTGTGTGAATTGATTCCATACTAGTTTGTCATAATGTGTGACTGATCAGTTCCTGATGTTTCATACTCTATTAAAAGTTATAGAATATTGTTCATTTTCATTTGTTAATTTTTCTTTTTTTTTTTCCAGCAAAAGATCAGTTTGTAATATATGACTGACAGCCAGTGTCTTTTGATGTTTTATTACCTTTGTGGAATCATGATCACATTGAGCCATCCCATAGTGTAATGAATCATGTAACTTGAGATCTGCCATTCATTTATTTGCAAGCACAAACAATTGAAGTATAAGTGAGTTTGGGTTGGTTTTTGTTCTCTTTTTTTTCTGAAGTAATCAAACATAACAGTACGTTAAAAAAAATGTATTTGACTGACCTTGAAATGTGTGGCAGTGAGGTTGTGAGATGGTTCTGCTTACAGGACATTCTCGTGTTTTATTTAGGCAACAATCGTTTGAAGCTGTAAGTAAGTGTAAAAAATTTTACTATGCATGCCCCGTTTCAGGGGAATGTTTGTGAACATACCTAGCTATGGTGCAGATTTATGTCTATTTCATTTTTGAAATGACTATGAGCTTTTGTCTAGCCTATCGAAAATCACAGAGTTCTCAATGATTAGATTCTGTTGCGCTAAAATCTGTATGCTTGTAGGCTTTTGAGAAATTAACATGTGAATATTGATAACTGGACTATTCTTTTTACCCTCCTCAATTATTTTTTTAGCCCAACCCTGCTCAAGGTGGAACAGTATTTTCAGATTCTTTTTGACTCTTGTTGGGTCTGGTTTATAAGACTTAAAATTGAAGAACAAAAATATATAGATCAGAGCCAGAGGCTGTGAAAGGTTTTGTGTAGAGCTAATGGTGTTATAAATAAGAAATTGTTGTTGGTCTTGTTTTTCCTCTTGACGTTCTCCACGCTTTTTCAGACTTTTTTTTTTTCCCCGTAAGTCGGTAATTGAGTCAACAGGTCCCAGCTTTTCTACTTCTTTTGTTTTTGTTTTCACCCCTTTTTTGTTTTGTTTTTGGTTTGCTTCCACCTCAAACACTGCAGCCTGTTGTTTGCTCCGAGGTCCATGTTCAGTTCCTTTATTTAATGCTTTGCTTTTTTCATGAGCAATGCCAATGATAAAGCAATAAATTATGTTATAAATGGCCACTCTGATAGGTTTCTGCTGCGAATTTCAGTGCTGTTTTCTTCACCAGTTCATTTGCTTCGTCTCGCTTTCTCCTTTCTTTGTGTTTTACATTTCAGTGTATATATGTTCATTTTATAGTATTTTTGTATGGTGGAATCATTTATACTGGCCCTCGAAGTATAAAGGTTATACGTGTCCTGTATACAGTAAGTTGCAATTTGGTCCTCTCTAGTCTGTTGCAGCTGTCTACCTTGACAAACTCTCTCTTTCTCTGAAATTATTTTGTGGTGGGGAAGGAGCGTCTGTGAAAACTGAATGTTTAAAGCCTGTGTGATGAGTGGATGCTTTGAAATGAGACAAATTTTAGATACTTGCAGGGCTGAGGTGGCTTGCAATGTTTCGTGTTTTCTGTTGTTGTTGTAGTCCAGAGCTGCCCTGCATGGTGATGCTGTTTCCCTCTTCTAGACACTTAGGTACCTTAACACAAATTCACAACACTTGAGACTGTAAGTATATTGTAAAAATAAAAGTGACAAAAAAAGTTTTCGCCCTGTTTTTTCTTGTGCTTGATTGTTATGTGTTACTGTTAGTGTTAGATAAACCAGACCTGCCACTCATCCCGATTTAATCCGGATATCCCGATTTTTTCCCCCAAATCTCAAGCATCCCGATTTTCCCGATTTCGATCGCCAGTATCCTGATTTTTTGTCGTTGTGTCTGTTGCGTCCGATTTTTAGAAAAAAATGTAAAAAGTTCTGCAATCTCTTTTGCTTGGAAGCACCGATTGGATTTTTTATCGGCAGGAACTTGGAACGCTTCTTTCTAAAGCATCTATGCCGAAACTAGTGGATGACTCGCGCTCGTTATTTCAACTAAAATCGACGTAGTATCGATTTTGAATTCCGACATGGATACGCTCAAGATCTACTTTCGCTTTTATAACGCAGGATTCTCCGATGGTGTCCTGATTACTGTAACAATTATGACATGGGCTTTTAAGAGTAATCTATTCGTTGTTCTGCCGTTGCTTTATAAGCACGCTTCGTCCGAGTTCTGGTTAGTCGGGCCCATCATCAAGACCTGTCAGTTGAACTTTCAAACACTCATTCTCATCACGTGACATGACCTCGCATGTGTGAGTAGCGCGTGTGTCGGGGACCGTTGGCTGTCGGGGTCAACATAGTTCGTTCACACCGGTCGTATTGGTCGAGGTGTTTTTCTGGACTTAACCAGTGTGGACGACCGGGGTGGGAAGGGGTGGGGGTATTTTTTTGACACATGGGCTGTGCGTGCCGTGATACATGTACTAATTGAGGATAAAGGAATAAGAAAAAAGAAAATAAAAGAATAACCTTGGCGCGATCTTTTTTTCGGTGGGGGGGGGGGGGGGGGGGGGTGCCTTGAGTGGATATGCGATGGAAGTCAAACGTTGTTACTGTACGAAAACGCGGCTTTTTGCATGGATGATTAGAGTTATGTGTCAGCTATTTTCAAAACTACGAGAGTTTCAGCTTTACTGCAACCTGCGCTCCCCCAGTCTATCCAGCTCCGACTCAGTACATATATGCTGTCTTTCAGTTTTCTGTCTATTTAGAGGCCCAAACGTGAACTTATTCCTGCAAAAGTTTTCTTTTGCATACTCGCCTCGTAAAAGGGAACCGAGACGACCCCCCCCCCTCCTTCCCCAGTACCCCTCTTGACTGATTTGCCGTTGATCCCGATTTTTTTTTTACCAGATCCTGATTTTTTAAACTCTAAAATCCTGATTTTTAGATTTCATAGAGTGGCAGGTCTGGATAAACAGTGATGTGAGTGGTTGGCGCATGCTCTGGTATAGTTTGCTCCTTCTTTTCTATCAAATATCTACTGTCCCTGTCTCTCCTTCTTTTTTTTGTGTTTGTTACTCTCTTGTAATTGTAACACTTCTAATCTTTGGGTGTCCTGATCTCTCCTACTTCTTTTCTGTTTTTTACTCTCCTGTAATACCTCTGAACTCTGATCTTCGGCACTTATATGACTTTATTGTGTTGCAAGTGCCGTAAAACTCTTTAACTAGAACTAATCTTCGGCACTTGTATGACCTAATTGTGTTGCAAGTGCTGTAAAACTTACTAAAATATAAAAGAGTGATGGAGATTTGTCATGGAAGGAGCACCGTGTAGAATAAAAAAATTGTGACAATTATAAATGATGAGGTTGCTTGGCCTGTTTCCTGGCATGGCGTCATACAAACCCACCATAAATTGCTTTTATTTGGTCTTGGGGGGTGGGGTGGGGGGAGCTCTCGTGGTCTAGAGGTTAAGGTGTTCGCCTCTCATTCAAAGATCCCCGGTTCTATCCGCGAAGCGACCGAAACAAATTTTCTTTCCTAAAAATTGTATCCTTTTCACTTTTCCTGCTCTCTAACAATGTTCTGTCGTCTGATTTCGTCTCCGCTTTCTGCCTCCACCCCTGGGGGCTCCTGACTCTTTCTGCAGCCTTTCTACTAGGGCTGTACCCCGGTAGCAAACCCGCTCGTGCTCACAAGCCCCTAGTTCAAGTCACAAGCCTCAAATCAGTAGGTCACAAAAGGAGAATTAGCATCACTCAGCACTACAAATGTCTTCTTAGTATTGATATGGGGAAAGGGGAGT